AAAGAGCTACCTCGTGCGAGTACCGTGGGTCACACTGGTCGCCCTTCCCTTCTGCACCATACAATGTCCCTCGAATTAGAACCCCTCCAAACCTTTCAACAACTGACCCCAAACTCTCCCTGTTCTCCTCCACTGGTGCTTTTTGTGCTTGCCAAGCTGGCCAAGCAAAAATTACTTTGCAAATAAATTCCATTACGCACTCTGCGTATTCACCTTGTTAAGCCAGAACGAGACCTTTGACTGCTTCCGTTGCCTCTTTGTGCGGGAACACCTCATTTGTCCGACCTCCCTGGAAAGCAGCTGCCCCACAAAATTGATCCGTATAAGTTAATGCCCATTCTTTCAGAAATGTAACCCTTTAAGCAGCCTTAAACCCTTTCTGGAGTAAGTCAGGGTATAATCAAATGAAAGTTTCTTTATTTTAGCCATTTTCTAATGGACACATTTCTGTAATACATTAGAGAACCTCCCAGTCTCAGTTAACAGAACCTAATGAGTATTGATTCATCTCTTCCTGATGGTGCAGGGCACGCTTAATGAGTGACGGTGATCACGTGCGGCTGGGGCTGGACAGGCCAGGGGTTGGTGGGGCGGGGCGAGGCGGGGGGGGGGGGGCGGCGGCGCACATGTGCGCATGCGCACTCTCTGTCTCTCCTCACCTGTTACTGTTCCCCTGAAACGGGCTTTCCTACGGGAGCACCTGCTATCTGTCTAGATTCTCGTTAGCAGGTGCAGTTACACAGAGCTCGGGAGGATGTTAACCTACTGCTTTTCTGCACAATTTCAAGAACTGGCATGCTGGCTTTTGTCAGTCTATAAATTCTTCCTTAGAGAGACAGAGGGAAAAAAAAAAAAAGAACACACTTCCACAACCAGCAATGAGCCAGAGCTTTCCAAACTTCCTGACCACGGGACCTTCAAGGCATCTGGGGACGCACCCCACGGAAACGCGCTTCTCCGATGCCGCTGAATGAGATGTCACAGCGTGCAGAGCCAGCACGGGGGGGTCCCTCTTCTTACGAGACGCCCTTGGGAAAAATCATTTTGCATTGTGAATAACCATTCCATGGCGCAACTCACTGAGGTGATACTGATTGATACGGAGGAAAATGGTAAAAGTACAGGAACAAGCCCTGTTTCATCGGGATGTGATCTGTGACTGCAGGGCCCCAAGGTGCTTTTTCCACCCCAGGCAACGGCAGGTTCCACAGCCAGTCTTCCCTGAGGACGGACACTGCCCTGGAGGGAGAGGCCCTTGGCCACTCCTACCTTCGACTGCATTGTTATCTTCACAAAGTCCACAGCATTCGCAAGAGTGAATCAATCATGGTGCCATTAAATTCATCAGAACTGACTGGAGCAAAAGAAGTTAGGCAGGCAAGCATTGCTAAAACAGACCACTCTCTTCCAAAACACTACAAATCTGTTCAATGCCAGGTTTAGAAATAAGTGGCTGTAAAACCACAAAATTATTTTGCAGTTTTAAAGGCTTGCACCTTTTTTTTTTAATTGGATCTTGAAGTTTTAAAGCCTTGTCCCTTTTCTAATTGGCCAATACTTTATGCTAGCTGACTTTCTAACAGCCAAGTCGCTCACCAGAGGCTCACGGGTTCAGTGGCTTGTCCTCATGTCCCTCGCCTTTTCCGTTGGCCAGAGCCCAGAGGGAGGAGGAACCCCCACTCCAAGTCGGACATGTAGCCACTCTCGTGACACCTGGCTTACTCGCCGCAGAGAACCTGGTAAAACAGGTACGGCTCCGGCTGATTCAGACACCGTCCTAAGTCCGGATGAGCCGATATTATACTGAATCATCAAGATTCTTCTGTGTACTCACGCCTCTTCTTTCAAGAGTAGTTCAACTTCCTCAGACTCACATCCTCTGCATTCTGTCTGTCAGATCTGCAGGGGGAAATGCAGGTTCTAAAAGAGCCACAAGTAGATGGGCACGAAATTCAAAGGGAGGACACCTAGATCCCAGGAGCAAGCAGAAGATGGCGTTGTTGGGGGGAGGGATGCTTAGACCTGGGCATGAGAAAAACAGGAAGGATGGAGGTGAAAGCAAGGTAACCACGAGTCACCAGCCCAGGCTGCTGGAACGCTGCTTATTGGTTAGATACCATATTAAAGGGAGAGTCAATTGCACAACTATTTACGAAGCGCCTAGTAGGTTTAAGGAACTGCATAGCGGCTTCGGGAGACATGGAGATGAACTGGATGTGGTTCTTCTTGCCCTACAGGGGTTCCCCACGATGCAAGAACCCTGAAGTCGTTTTCCTTGTGTACACTTGGATTAATGAGAGCATCATTAAAGAACTGAATTCGGTGTCGATCGCCACCATTGGTGTTTAATGGGGACAAACCAGCGAGAGTGCAGAGGAGGGAGGGGATACAAAAAAATCTATAGAGACCCAGTCATTTTCTTTTTTCAAGTATATGAAAGGTTTGAGAGAAAGGAAATGAGGAAAACAGGTTTGAATGACAGCAGGCGAGATTTCAGCCCGGGAATTTCTGGACAATCAAGTTAACAGAATACTGGAATTGGTCATTGAGGGAGTTCCTAGTGTGGCCTTTTCCTGGAAAACATTTTTTTTTCCTGATGAACTGATAATTTCAAGTCACAAACATTCACCTTCCTGAAGGCTGGGGGGAGGATCTCTCTCTCTCCCACTGGCCTCCCCTGCTCCTGAGAGGCAGACCTGGGCTGTCTGACTGCCCACAACATCCCCACCAACAAGTACCGCGAAACTGCCCAGGGCACCCGGCACGTATCCCCGCCAGACAGCACAGCCGGAAGTGAACCTTCCAACAGCCGCAGGTGACGCGAGGGCCCATTCGCACGAACCTGCGGGGCTAGGTGCCAAAAATAAAGAGTCTCCAAGCCACCTGTGCACATTAGAAATAGATTTGCATTTATAGGGAGGTAAAATGTAGGTAATGAAAAACGTAGACAAATTCCTCTGCAAATTAGAGGTGGTAATTTCTAAGGAAATTTGTAGGAGGTATTTTCTACATTCAGAGATACTTTTTTATTATTATTTCAAAGAGAGAAAATATTTCAAGAGAAAACAGGGAAATAGGGTCTTCCCTTTACACCTCAGGAAACATCAGCAGGTGAGAATGAGGAACTGGCCCACACACAGTGCAGGAGAAACGGCGCTCCGATCTGAGTTAGACCGTGGGCTGCTGAGCCCCTGTCTAGTGTTTTTATTGTTGTTGTTTTCGTTTTTTAAGAGAGCAGGGAAGGGAGGGAGAAGGGGAGGGAGAAAGAGAGGGAGAGAAACATCGATGTGAGAGAGAAACATCAATCGGTTGCCTCTCCTACGTGCCTGGACCAGGGACCAAACCTGCAGCCCAGGCAAGTGCCCTGGACAGGGAATCGAACTAATGACGTTTTGCTTTGCAGGCCAATGCCCAGCCCACTGAGCCATGCTGGCCAGGGCTCCACATTTAGTCTTGACTTTCACTTCCCATACCCCCCGAACTCCTCGAGGCCAGGGGCCCTGTGTAAATGTGTGTTAAACGAAGGCATGGAGCAGCGCCCTATCTGTAAAGCAGGATGGTAGTGCCTGGCTCGTGGGTCTGTCAGGAGGACGAGGTAATGTGGGCACAGAGCATCTCACAAACTAAGTGGGGTCTGAGTCATAATTATCACTCTGAACTTCAGGCACGTCAGTTTCTTTTAGAGGAATAATAAAGACCTTCCTATACTGCAGGTTTTCAATTTCCTTTTTCTTTCTTTTTTCCCCAATAGGGTATTGACATAGGAAATAGACTATTACGAGCTTGGGCCTTTCAAGCTCACACTCCGTGGCAGTTACACAAAGTCTGCTGGCATTATTCTGAATCCTGTCTTTGACAGCAACCTGAAGTGCTGGAATTGTCATAAGACGACCAGAAAACGCTGGCAAATTATGTGTTCAGAGGACAATAAAAAGTGTTCACACATCACACCCTCTTGATCATCCCTGCTTTGTTCCACCTAAACCTCAAAGGTGGTTTCCCAAGATTGGTGGCTATGAGAGGAAGGAAGAAAAAAAGTATAAAAAAAAACCAAACCCACGAAATAAAATAGGAAGACCCTACGAGCAGCTGTAACTTGCATGAAGCGCCCCATTTCTCTTACAGGAAAATGATGGGCCATGCATGGTGAGCCCACTGCTGGCTGGTGGGTGGGTGGGGCCTCCCCTCCATGCGGAGCGTGCCCCCCCCTTCCCTGCCTGCTGCCTGGGTTAGGAATGGATCCTGATTAAGGGCAAAGGCTACATCTTTCAGACTTTGGGATACTTTCCCAGAGGCGCAGCTGCAGCCTGTGAAACTGTTCTGACCGCTTGTTTCCTCATTTTTAAAGTGGCACAGAATGCACCACGACAGAGAGACATTCTCTACCTGAAACCAGCAGTCGCTCAGGGTGTCAAAAAGGGCTCTTTCTTCTGTGGGCAGAGTGGGGGTGTGTGTGTTTATTGTCGCTGGCACCCAAACTGGAAAAGGAATGGCAGGAGATTAATAATTGAAATGTTGCTATCATTGGTTTTCTAAACTATTTGTGGGGTATTCTTTCCCCAGAGGCTTTGTGCCTGTAGCAGCTCAAAAGACAGAGGGATTTAACCTGTGCTGGGAAGATGCTCACGGCTGCCGGCAGCCGGCACTTTACCTGGGCTGCTTCCTAACTGAGACGCCCCCTAACGTGCCCACAGTCCGATTCAAGGGTTGTACCACAGGCCCCGGAACGGAGGGTAAAATTAACAAGCCTTGACTCATTCCTCCAATGTGACGAGAATGAAAACAATATTTATACTTGCTCATTTTACAAATATAAAACACAAACACAGGAAGAGATATTTTAGAACATGTATCATCCAATTATTTCCGCGGAAGATGATTCAGAAGCCATTTCTTGGTAGGCCCACCTGATGACAGATTCGGGCATCTTGGGGAAGGCTGGCTGCGTAAGCCAGTGCCAGTCAACACAGCTCACCTTAGGCCCGGTGGACCATGATTACCTTGGAGTGTAGGATCCTCTACTTCGGAGCCTGTGGCGACACCAACTTTGTGGTTGGCCTTTGCACTGCATATTGAAAAAAAAGCCTTGCTAAGCAAGCTGATGGAGTAACCCACAATTGCGAGGCAAATGTTTAACCTTCTAAAGAAAATAAACCTTTTTAGAGAAGTTCAACTGAATCAGTACCAAGCCACTGAAAATGAATGTGCTGTTTAGAAACCTATCTTTAGAAGCAAATCGTGGAAGACTGATTACACTCTGCCACCCAGTGACCCGCACTATCTCACATCCCCCCCTCCACCCCCCGCCCCCGTCTGGAAGACAGCATGTCTCTCCGCATACCGGGCAGTTCAGAGGGCTCCACTCCCGAATTCAGGGCTGCACCTCACAGGCCAACAAGCTGGGGCAGCTGCACCCCAACTAAACAAATGAGTGCATTCTGGCGGTATAGCTGAAATGCCTCGCCTGTCATATGTCTGCTGAGAAGAACTCCCCCACCCCCGGTTCAATTTTCTAGTAGCTCAAAAACTATTAGAAAGCACTCTTCTGGGAGAATTCCCCAGGAAAGGCCCTGCTCCTTCGGGACCCACACAGGGAGTCCAGGTGCTCTGATTGGGAATGCAGCAAAAATCAGGTTCACCAAACCCAGCGGGTGTCGCCAAGGAGGGGAAAAAAGGAGGTCGCTGGAGTCTCGGAAGCACTCATCACTGTAAGTGAATGGAGGTTCCAGCAAGACAGTCCTTGATTACAGAGGTCACCTGTCTGTTTAGGGCATGACCAAACAGTCTCTTGCACTAAGACCCAGGCCTGGACTTGCGCTGAGTGATGCCGAAACTGGCTGAGGAGAGGGGAGGAGGAAGATGAGGAAAAGAATTACAGGGATGCACAGAAACTCTGCAGAATCAAAGCACATGAGCAGAGCAGTAATTAAGAGCACACAAACAAGACGGAGGGAGGGCTGAACGCGGTGACCAGGGAGATCGCCAGGGACAGGGAGGGAAGGCTTGCAAATAAATAGAACCCGTGTGCTCCTGAGACCTTTGAGATCCCCGATTCTTCTTAAACCATGACACCTTGCACACCCACAGCCTTTTATCGGGCATAAAGCACTGAAGGAACACTGCCTTAAGAACAGGAGTGACCAGTCGTAGCTTCGGGGGTCAGGTGTATATTCCTTGATTCTTTCCGTTCAGGATTCAGAACGAAAAGAAAAGGAGCAGAACAAGCCATTCCCAAGATGGTTTTCTACAAAGTTGACAAAATACACCCCAGCCCCTGTGAAAAGGGAAAGCAGCCGGTTACTACAGTTCTGAATTCAATGCCAAGTTCCTTCTCTAATGCTCACCCAGAGTGTCCAGCAGAGGGAGTCTCAAGGAGGTACTTAATAAAGAGAAAATTGTTTCATTTTAACACTCCACAGACAGTGGGAGCATTGACGGTCGCCCCCTCCCAGAGACACTGAGGAACAATGAATGCCCAACATGGGTTCCCCTGGCGTGTTCACAGAGCCACCGGCTCGCTCTGCTCTGTGTGGTGGGGTGATCAGAAATTTCGTTTTGTTTTGTGCAATGGTTAAATGGACCTTGTGTTCTTCAGAATCAAAGGGGAAAGCCCCTGGAATAACATCTCTCTGTTGCCTTCTAAACAGCCCCTTTGTTTCCAAGAGAGTCTGAAAAAAAATATTTACAGTCCATAGGTTATTTACAGCCTCGTTAGCCAGGGCCTGACTGGTAACTTTATTCCACCCAGAAACCTAATTCATTTGGAGCCCTGAAACTAATAACAGATTTTCTTTTCAGATAAGTCTTTCTTTTTTTAAATCTGCCTCTTACAACAGAGATAAAACTATTAATGCGTTCCCTGTTTCACTCGCCTCCACTGTTCCCCGGATTTATAGAAGGATTAACATCTCTCCTCCCCCCTCCTCTCTGCTCCACACAAACCCGTTCCCCTCCCATTTGCTATTTCATCCACAGAATATCTGAACAAAACCGAAAGAAAGCCAGATGGACTGACGCTAAAAGTATGTAAAGGCTGCTATTCCGATGATTTCAGGAGAAAAACATTTTCACGATGAAGAGACTGAAAAACCAGGCCCACTTGGGTTTAAGATTCCTCCTGCTACAAGCACACAGAAACACACCGAAGTGTAAAAAACTTAGTTGATTCTGGGTTGATTTCTGGCTGGAGGCTGACAGAACTGACTGAAGGGAAAGGAGAGGCAGGGCGTGCAGCGGGGAATGAAGCGCTTTTGCCCTGCGTTTTCTTTCTTCCTGAAGGCAGTCAAATCAGGGAAAGGGGGAAAAAATAAAATAAAATAAATGACCCAACGCCAGGTGAAGGTGCGCCACACTGCTTTGCCCAGACCGACGGAGAAACACGTCTCGGCCGCCTCCCCGACGCGAAAACCTGAACTACATTTTCCCTCACACACGCTCATGCGGGGAGATTTCCGTCTAGTTCATTGTTCTGCCCGGTGTGACACGGACTTTGCCTCTGGACCCCCCTCTCGTCACCTGGCCCCGCACGTTCCGACTGCACAGCCCCCCGGAATCGGAGACCCGCGAAGAATAAAGGAGCGCGGGGTGGGAGCGGAGAGGGACGCCGCGGGAGCTGTGCGGGCAGAGTGCAACGGAGACCGGCTGGAAGGTAATCTCCGAGGTGCGGGGGGAGGACGCAAGCTGCGCCGCATCACCTTTATTTATTCCCCATAAATAAAAGGCACAGTCACGGGTCGGTCCTCTCCCGGGCGCCCCCTCCCAATTTCTTTTCTTCGGGCGGCAGCCCACCCTCGCACCCCAGCCCCCCACCCCTGGAAAGGAGACCCCGTTAAATCCCGGGTCCTGGCCGTTTTCCGGGCCGGGGAGGGCGTCGCGGGGCGGGGTGGGGAGCCGCGGAGCGCCGGGGGCCGGGCGCGGGGGCCGCGCACCGGGGGGCTGCCCGGCCAAGGGCCGCGGGCAGAACAAAGCTGCGGGGGCCGCGGCGGCGCCGGGCGCGCGGGGTCGGCGGGCCGGGCGCCCCTTACCTTCGTACACGGGGGCCATCGGGGCCGGGGTGTCCGCGATTCATGGCAACGGAGAAGGGATCGCGGCGCGCGAGCTCGGCCCCCCCAGCCTCAGTCGGAATCTGCCATCTTGAGCCTGTGTCTCCGCTCTCGGCGCAGCCGGGGCCGCCGGCGCCCGCATCACCGCCTCACTTGGCCGGCGCCGGGGGGAGGGGGCCGGGCGCCGCCGCCGCCGCCGCGGCCCGGGCCCTGCGCGGGGGGCTCCGGGGCGGCCGGGCGGGCGCAGCGGCGGAGGCCGAGGGGCCGAGCGGCCGCGGCCCCCGAGCGGGTCCGCGGTGGGGCGGGAGCCGGGGCGGGCAGCGCGCGGCCAGTGCCCGGCCGGAGCTCAGCGCAGCATGGCTGTGCGCGGGGGCTTCGGCAAAAGTTGCACGGGCGGCGGAGGAGGGGCGGGAGGAGCCGGGAGGAGGGGCGGGGGGCGGGGGCCGGGGGGCGGGGAGCGGCGGGCCGGGCGCGAGCGAGCGAGCGAGCGAGCCGCGGAGAGCGGAGTCCGCGCGCAATCGAGCGCCGATGGCACGGATGCGAGGCGGGGAAGGCCGAGCCGAGGGCACCGCGGCGGCCCGGCCGGCGGGGGCGGGGCCGGTGGGCGGGGCGGGCCGGGTGGGCGGGGCCGCGGGCGGGGCGGTTAAAGGGAGAGCGGGCGGCTGGGGAGGGCAAGGTGTGCACGCAGTTGGGTTTTGATTGGCAGAGGGAGCGACCAGAACTTTGCGCCCGTGGGCGCGAGTGCTGGGGCGGGAGGGGGAGCAAACTAGAAAGGGGGCGCCGGTCGGCAGAGCGTCTCCCTCTGGCACACCTGCTTGGCGCTCCCTGACGGAGGTGTGAAAGGAATGAGCGGAGGAGTCGGCGCGAGCGGGTCTGGGAGGGAGGATGAGCGAGCGGAGGAGCCTGAAATCCATATGAGGTCAGAGATGCAGAAGGCGTGCATTCCGTGCACGCTTAAGAAAAGCAGCACCCGGTGGTTGCTGAACTCCTGCAGGAACCTGGTTTCCCCGCCGTCCTCACGTCCACAGTGTCCTTAGGGGCTCTTCCATCACCTGGACAGGTGGTTCCCGCCGACTCATTCCCAGGCCTCTGCTCTTCGAACTCTCTCCGATCAAGGCTTCCACTAAACCTTCTCCAGCCGGGAGCCTCTCCAGGTTCACTTCTGCAGCCCGCTCCTGGATTCTTTGACAGGCCGCCCGGCCATGGCCTACAAATGAGCAAGACTGGACTCTCCTCTTAGGCAATTTGAAAACCTTGAGATGCGACACAATAATCAATCATGAAATAAATTCAATGGATGGCTTTAAAAAAATGAAACGTAACGGAATAGAAAATATTAGGATCCATTGCCCCTAGCAAGGGTAACTGTGGCTTCATAAACCTTTTGTTTCAGTGATATATTGGACAACTGTACTGTACTGTGGTATAAACCGTATTTCCTGATACTAAAAAAAAAGTTTAAAATCTATGTTTGGGGATGTAAAATAATGACCTCTAACGCTGTACCACTTCCCTAGGAACAGACCCATTCATTATATTCTCACCACCACTTTTCATTCCCAGCCTCCGTAGCCCGTGGTCCTCCCATCTAGTCTCTCAAACAGCAACAACAACAAAAAGAGAAGCCCCTTTGTACATTTTTCTAGTTTTGCTAGTGGCATATTATTCTCCCTTCATATCAGGATGACCTTTGACCCTGCCGTCTCCCTTGTCCATATGTTCAAGGCTGCACTCCCTGCTGTGTGTGTTTCTTAGCCTAATGTCACTCACCTTTGCAGATTCCCAGACACCACTGCTGAGACAGGACTCACAGGTCATCTGGGCCAGCCCTACCCTTTTCAAATGACAGAGATGAGGCCCAGAGAAAAGAAGTGTATTGCCCAATGTTACCCCGTATTAAATCTTCGGGCCATGTCTCTTGGCTCCCAGTCTGGTGTTCTGCCCGTCACACCATTCCTTCATCTCTTTCTTCTCAACCCCCTGCCACCCTTCGCTGGTCTCAGCCCAGTTCACCTAAGCACCGCCCCCTTCCTAACACACAGTTTTGCCATGCCAGGCTCCTGCTCAGTTCTGACAAGGACACAACCTCTGCACTCAGGACTCAGGTCTCAGGTTCCTTGCTCCTTGCTCCTTGGCTTGTAATCAAGGCAGGCAGGCCCTGACTTACCTTTCCAAGCGCATGAGTTCAACAAGTCTCTGCCTCTCCAGCCAGACTGGTTTACTCGTGGTCCTCTGCCAGCTTTGCCCATCTGTGCCTCTGTGTCTTTGCCCAGGCTGCTACTTTCCCACCAACAGTGCCTTCTCTGCCTTCTCTCTTTAACCAGATTCTACCGGTACCTGACTCATTCCTTCCACAGAATAGCCGGAGGTAGCACGAGATAAAGACAGACTTGGGTTCAGATCCCAGCTCTCCCACTTAGTAGCTGTGTAAATTTGGTCAAATTGCTTAATCTCTCAGACCTTCAGTTCCTGTGTCTCAATTAGGAGAATAATAATAGTAACAATAATAATAATAAATTCTTTTCTTGTACCTGTAAGTCTATATCATGGCCTTGTCAATATAAGACATGTCCAGATCTTTTATGAGAATTTATTTGAGCCAAACTGACAATATGTGCTGGGAGCAAGATCTCAAATTCTCTGGAGAACAACATCTTTGTAGTTTCTTTTACACATTTGAAATTAAGGAGGGAACATAAGGAAGATTACATGAAGGCGAGAGACCGCAAGGTGGGAGAGTTAACACTGAACAAGACTGTGTGCTCTCCTGAGGGTTAATACCCCCTTCCAGGGGTATTACTTCTGGCTTCTCAAAGGTGTGTTGACCTAGATACACAAGAACAATGAACAGAGCTGGCTTCCAAACCATTCACTAGAGTCTGGACTTCCAGCCAAGATGGAGGCGTAGGTAGGTACACTGTGCCTCCTTGCACAATCAAAAGAAGGACGACAACAAATTTAAAAACAAAAACAACCAGAACTGACAGAAAATCAAACTGTATGGAAGTCCAACAACCAAGGAGTTAAAGAAGAAGCATTCATCCAGACTGGTGGGAGGGGCAGAGATGGGCAGCCAGGCAGAGAGGACTCTCGACAAGGCAGTGGCTGGCGGACCCAGTGAAGTGGTGGCCGGTGGACCAGGCAGCCCCACATTTGACTGCGGATAAACTCGGAGGAACGACTGGGGAGCGAGACAGATGGCGCAACCCAGGGTCCCAGTGCAGGGAAATAAAGCCTCAAGCCATTGATTGAAAATACTTGTTGGGGTAGAGGTGCCAGGAGAAACTCCCAGCCTCACAGGAGAGTTCTTTGGAGAGACCCACAGGGTCCTAGAATGTACACAAACCCACCCACCCAGGAATCAGCACCAGAAGGGCCCACTTTGCTTGTGGGAAGCAGAGGAAGTGATTGAAAACCATCAGAGAGCAGAGCAAGCACCATTGTTTCCAATCATACCCCTCCCCCACATACAGCGTCACTACCCAGCGACGTGGGTTACCCCACCTGGGTGATCACCTAAGGCTCCTCACTACATAATAGGTGTGTCAAGACAAAAAAAATGGCCCAAACGAAAGAACAGATCAAAGCTCCAGAAAAAAATATCGCTAAACAATGATGAGATAGCCAACCTATCAGATGCACAGTTCAAAACACTGGTCATCAGGATGCTCACAGAATTGGTTGAATATGGTTGCAAGTTAGAGGAAAAAAAATGAAGACTACACTAAGTGAAATAAAGGAAAATGTATAGGGAAGCAACAGTGAGGAGAAGGAAACTGGGGCTCAAATCAACAGTGTGGACCAGAAGGAAGAAAGAAACATTCATCCAGAACAGAATGAAGAAACAAGAATTCAAAAAAATGAGGAGAGGCTTCAGGACATCTTTAAACATTCCAACATTCGAATTATAGGGGTACCAGAAGGGGAAGAGGAACAGCCACAAGTGGAAAACTTATTTGAACAAATAATGAAGGAGAACTTCCCCAATCTGGCAAAGGAAATAGACTTCCAGGAAATCCAGGAAGCTCAGAGAGTACCAAAGAAGTTGGAACCAAGGAGGAACACACCAAGGCACATCATCATTATATTAGCCAAGATTAAAGATAAGGAGAGAATCTTAATAGCAGCAAGAGATGAGGAGACAGTTATCTACACAGGAGTTCCCATCCCACTGTCAGCTGATTTCTCAAAAGAGACCTTGCAGGCAAGAAGGGGCTGGAAAGAAGTATTCCAAGTCATGAAATCCAAAGACCTACAACTAAGATTGCTCTATCCAGCAAAGCTTTCATTTAGAATGAAAGGGCAGATAAAGTGCTCCCCAGATAAGGTCAAGTTAAAGCAGTTCATCATCACCAAGCCCTTATTATATGAAATGTTAAAAAGACTTATGTAAGAAAAAGATAAAGAATATGAACAGTAAAACGACAACAAACATAGTTATTAACAACTGAACCTAAAACAAAGACAAACTAAGCAAACAGCTAGAACAGGAACAGAATCATAGAAACAGAGATCACATGGAGGATTATCAATAGGGGAGTGGGAGGGGGAGAAGGGGGAAAAGGTACAGAGAATAAGTAGCATAAACGGTAGGTAGAAAATAGACAGGGGGAGGTTAAAAATAGTATAAGAAATGTAGAAACCAAAGAACTTATATGTGTGACCCATGGACATGGACTAAAGGCAGGAAATGTGGGTGGGAGGGGGTGTGCAGGGTTGAGGGGAGTGAAGGGAGCAAAACGGGACAACTGTAATAGCGTAATCAATAAAATGTATTTTTAAAAAAATAAAATAAAACATTCACTAAAGAAGTTACAGGCCTGGGGTATGACTACCCACCATGACCTGCCCAGTTAGGAATCTATGATCAGAGCACCCTGTGAGGTTACTTTCCATAGAACCCCCTTTTTGTCCACAGCCTTTACCATAAAGTTATTATCTCTCTTCCCCTTTCCCGTGCTGCGTAATAGAACTTTCCACAGTGCTGGAAATGTATCCATGTGTGGCTGTTGAGCACACGAAATGTGGCCAGTGCGAGTGAGGAGCTGAATTTTAATAGCCAGGTGTGGCCAGCGGCTCCCGTAACCAGACGGTGCATCTGTAAACTACAAGCTCAACCAGAGCAGAAACCGAGCTGACGCTGTTTGACATCATATCCCCAGCAACCAGCACCCTGCCTGGCACACAGCAGGTACTGCACAAACATTTACTGAATGAATGCTAGCGGCCATTTATGGCGCGCTCACTTGTGCCAGGTGCAACACTAAGAACTTGACCGAGGTGATTTGGTGTGGTCCTCCCCATATCCCCCGAGGTGGGATGAGATAGAGACAGAGTTTGCATGGAGTGTTGGCAGAGAGTAGAGGTTCAATAAAGGGTTGTTATAAGCATTTTTAAGACCTCCCCGTGAATGTGACCATCCAACTCATTTTTCTCTCTTCTTCTCTAGGCTTACAGAGTGGTTCTTGCCTGCCACCCACACGCTGTTGTCCCGTGGCCCGCCTCACCCTAGACGGCTGACTTTCTTCTGTGTAGGTGCCCCGTCCCCACAACTGGGTTGGCGGCGGCATCTGGGGACAAGGCCCATGGCATCCTTGTTGATGTCCCTTGGCTCAGGGCCCACACTCGTTGGTGTTAAGTAGCTGCCTCCAACTCTGTCCTGTGCTGTCCGCCCTGAGTCTCCTCCCCTGGGATACCCCCTCTGTTCTCCCAAAGTTTGTGTGTTAAAATCCCAACCCCCAGGACCTCAGAAAGTGGTTTTTTTTGTCCCTTTAATCTTCATCTAAGGATACGTTTGATTTGAGAGAGAGAGGAAATGAGGGAGGAAGAGAGAGAGAGAGAAACATCGATCAGTTACCTTTTCTATGCTCCTTGACTGGGGATCACACGCACAACCCAGGTATGTGCCAAACCTGTAACCTTTGGTGTACGGGAACCACTTCGACACCCGGCCAGGGCTGGAGGTAGGATCTTTAAAGCGGTAGTTAAGTTAGAATGAGGCATGGGGAGGTAGTGCTGACCAGTAATACACCCGGTGTCCTTACAGGGAGAGAACCAGCATGCAGAGACACAGAGAAGAGACACCATGGAAAGATGCAGGCAGAAGGCGGCCGCCGTCTGCAAGCCAAGGAGAGCCGCCTCTGTAGGAGCCAACCCGCCGACACTTTGACCTCAGACTTCTAGCTCCCAGAACCGTGAGAACATACATTTCGGTGGTTCAAGCCGCACGTCTGGGGTGCAACTTCTGGCAGCCCAGGCAAACTCGTACACCCCGCAGAGGGTGAGTTAAAATGAAGAAAGATTGCTCGTGTCAACCGAAAACACCTTGAGGGTGGCCTCCTTCCCAGGTGCGTGGAAGCAGAAGAAGATGGGGCCAGAGAAGCTCCCACCTCCTCCTCAGACCACAGCGACCGAGGCCATACCTGTGGCCTGCACTGCTCCAGGAAAGACATTCAGTCGTGTTAGCGTACGAGGCATCCTGTAGACGGAAAATGGTACTTACATGAGTTTAGATTTGCGTGTGTCACGAACGAGCAGACTCAGTTCTCCCGTCCTCCCCGCAGTGACGGTGGCCGCGTGGCTGCAGGCGGAGAGGCGCACAGGGAACCCCACGGCAGGAGAGCACAACAGCAGGGAGCAAAGGGGGTCTGAGACAGAGCCCGGGGGCCCCAGTGTCTAACGGATTCAAGGCGTTTCTGCGGAGAACAGGGCAGGAAGGAGGAGGACAACCTGGACAGAGCGGTACCTGGACGTAGCAGGGCAGAGACCATCGTGAAGGGAGGCGTGGTCAGCAGTGCTGGGTACTCCTGGGAGGTGATGTCAGATCCTTCAGGTGGGGGGGCCTCCCCTGGACTAAGCAACAGGAGTTACGTGAGTGACTTTGGTGAGACCCATTTGGAGGACAGGGTAAGGTTGCCAAGGTCAGTTGAGAAGGTTGCATAGTGTTTGACAGGGGGAGGCGGTTGCTGGGGTGGGGGATGTGTGTGAAGGAGGAGCCAGAAGGGGGCCCTAGAGAGTACTGCAGGCAGGGCAGGACCAGGGTCACCAGGGCGAGACACTGACAAGGGTCCAGGAGCTGTCACGTTTGGCTGGAGACGGCAAGCACTGCATTTCACCTATTGAATAAACGCGTTAGCGCTGAGTGTTCTGAGGAGTTTGCAAACATGAACTCATCGAGTAACTTTGATGTTTTTGTGCGACACGGGACTCGAGGTTGCCAAAAACTGGGTGACTGCAGCGCGCTGTGGGGAACAGCACAGGAAAGGACTCAGCAACCACCCCTGCCGGTCACCTGTTCTTCACACACCTCCCTGCAAAACGGTGCAAGTGGCAACCTGCTCGGGTGTTAGCAGAGTCAACATGGGGGAGTTTTGACCTCGTGGGCAGTTCGTTTTGTTTGCAGGACCAGTGACAGGGCGTCTTTTCCTCATGGATGGCTAGAGTTGTGAAAATGCACACCACCACAGAATTTTCCAGGCCACAGGGTAGAGAGAGAGAGATTTCTCTTTGGGGGGGGTCCATCTGTTCAGGTGAGCCGGTCATTGTCACTCTCAGGGTGTCCACAGGATGATATCGGTGCTCGTACCTTATCTGGACTCGGCATGTGTTGCCGGTTCCCTGCCTGGTCCCTGTTCCTGTGCTGGCCAACCCTGTGGTTTTGTCTTTGAAGGTCATGTCTGGGGGGAGGCTGCTCCCTTTGCAGGATCTGTCTTTAGGGGCTCACACCCGTCTTTTGGTCTCTCCTGGTACCTGTCTGTTTATGTCTCTCTTTTCCATAACGTACCTGTCTCATTTTCTTTTTCTCTGTATCACCTTCCTATCTCTTCCACACGTTATTTCTCCTCTCTCTCTCTCTCCTTTCCTCTTTTTATCTTTTATGATTCTGTCTCTTAACAAGCCGTAACACAGACGTTTTTGTTTTAGTTATTCCTAAGAAATTACTTCATATTTCTGCATTATACCTTTGATCAGCTTAAATGATACATTTTCTGAATAGACTGCTGTTCAGTAACTGCAGGAACCCTTAAATGAAAGCTCGAGGGATAGGGTATCACACTGATGGGTATGTGGATGAAAAAACATCACATTCAAATGAGGTGACAATTGGCCCTGGACAGTGTGGCTCAGCTGGTTGGAGCCTCATCCTTCGCACCAAAATGTCGCAGGTTCAGTTCCCGGTCAGGGCACATGCCTGGGTTGTGGGCGTATTTGGGAGGCAACCAATCAATGTTTCTCTTTCTCTCTTTCTCTCTCCCTCCCTCCTTCCCTCCCTCCCTCCCTCCCTCTCTCCCTTCCTCACTCTAAAATCAATAAGCATGTCCTCAGGTGAGGATCAAAACAAATGAGGGGACCATTGGAGCTCTGGCTTCGAGGGCGGGGGTAGCACGAACTTGGCCAGGGGAAGGGAATCCGATGTGGAAGTGGCCCAATCGGGGGGATGGGAACCATCATTCACTTCCTGCTTCTACTCCTAGAAGAAAAATGGCCAGAATGGTATTCGGCAGAAAGGGGTCACGGCTAAAAGAAAGGCAACCGGCCTCTGAATGTGGAAGAAGCTGGGACACAGTTGCTCAGAAGATAGAGCAGTTCTGTCGGAGGTTTCGGGACGGCAGAGTAGGGCGGATTTGCCCACGGGGAGCAGTTTGGAGAAGCCGTCCAGCCCCGCAGAGAAATTTCTGTGGTGGGGGCAGTCGGGTGGTCGGCTGGTTCGCCTGACACGCACTCCAGGCTGAACTGGGACAGATGAGTCAGGAAAAGGCCCAGAGGGAAGCCGTTAGCTTGGGGGTGGGTGCAGAAGGGAGAGTAGACACAGGAGAGCTCTTTGCCAAGCCTGAGAGACCTTCTAAGGCAGGTTAAGCCCACCTCAGTGATGAATCAGTGGGACTGTGCGTTTCTGTGCTGTATGAAGTTTGTATCACATAACTTCCTTCCACTCACATGAAAACGCTTGTCCCTAAGCAGCAACCCCTAGGGACGATGGCCGATGACCGAATGGCAGAGGGCTGTCAGGACTGACTCTTCTCTCTGATGTTGCCAGCGACCTCTCTGAGGCCAAATCCAGGGCCCTTTCTCAGTCCCTCCCCTACTTGATCTCTAAACAGACATTAGACACTGTTAATCCCTTCAATTCTTCTCGAATCAATGGCCTCCCTTGACTTTTCATAATGATGCACTGCTAACATTTCCCTTCCATGTTCCTGGTCATTCCTTCTCTCTCCCTTTTTTGCACCCAGAAATTCGATTCATCAAATGTTCAGTGACTGCTTACTGTGTGTTAAATTCTACAGTAGGAGCTAGGAGGATAGAAGGGAGTAAGCCACAGCCCCTGTTTTCAAGGAGCCCAAGTTCAAAACCACCAGGTGAAGAGTGCAATACATGATGAGTGCAGCGGTCGAAGAATTCACATGGTCAGGAGCCAGCACAGAGGGGCAAATGACAAGGAGCGTGTTTTATGGGATGGAGGAGCTCGGCACGGCTGCGCCCAGAAGCGTGAGTGCTGACGGGGGGGGGGGGTGCACAAGGACAAAGGCATGGGTGTCCCAGAGCTGTAAGAAGTCACAGGATTGCTACACACCAAGAACCAGCCCAGGCATCTGTCAGGGATGAGGCTGGGACAGAGGTGGAGTCTTGTATGTCAAGCCAAAGGATTTGTACTTTATTCTGTATTCACAGGTGTGGGGGAAATGAGTGTGACTTTGAACCTGTTAGGTTTAAGGTTCCTACGAGAGAGTCAGATAGGGATGGGTGTAAGGGGCTGGAGCTCAGCCCGGAGTCTTTCACGGGACAGAGCGTTTTACTTTCTGAGTCATCAGTACATAAGGGGCTGTTAATCCACAGGGGCTAGGAGATCACACGGGGAGAGGTTCCATGGCGGGGTTTCTTCAAGTGCGGTGCTCGGGTCACCTGCATCGAACCCCGACAGGGGCTGCAGACTGCTCAGGCAGAACCCCAAGCCTACCACTGACTCAGGGATCTCTGGGGGGCAGTGCCTGGGAACGTGCATTTTAAATCTACTCTCTAGGGGATGGGCACCGTGGAGGATTTTGATAGGCAGTGGTGCAGAAACAGCTCCTGGTGTGAGAAGCTAAGAGGCTACAGGAGGGACCTGGGAAGGGGGGCGACCCGGTCACCTGAGAGGTTGTGCGAGATGCTGTGGAGTGAGAGGGGCCAACCCAGAGTCCAGATGTCTTGGAGGCGAGCTGGCCCTTCAGCCACTGACTTGCAGGCTCCTGAGTAACTGAGCGGAGCGGGGTCTCCACGAAGCCAGGTTTAGCTGGGCATCTCATCACTTACAGCTCACCACGTCTTAATTAGTATAAGGAATCTTCTCATTTCCAGACAGTGTTTTATCATAATCCACATGGAGATCTCTTACAAATACTTCAACAGCATCTGCTGTACACCTGAAAGCAACACAAAATAATATTTAAAAATATTTCAGCAGCCTCAAAGCGTAATTAAAAAAAACCCCCAACAACAAAGGCTTTTTTGTCATAGCATCCTGAGGATTTTCACTGAACGAGAGAGGTGAATTTGAATTTTTGAAGAACTTCTTTTGAAACGTGGCGGTGTCCTCAGCCACCTCCCACTTGCTGTAGGTGGTACGCTTCATCAACAGTCAGAAGCCGCTGCTTCGCTTATCCTTTCCCTTGGAGACACACACTGCCTGGCTGATTTGAGCTAGTCTGGCTGGTTGAGTTAGATATTTAAAGAGAAGACAGAGCAACAACAGAAAGTAAGATCTTAAAAATAGTCTTGAATTTCCTTGTGTTCTTTGACATGATGCAGTTGACCCTGAACTTCTGAATGTTAACTCCTCCATCAAATAGCCACTGAGGCCAGAGGTGGTAAGTGGCAGGGAGGGGTCTTTCATCAGTGAAGTAGGCCAGTA